GTAGGGCCGATTAAAATGTTACGTAATGCAACGATTGCTTTTCAATACTATCCACCCCTACATAACGTACTTTTCTTATACTTAATAAAAGGGTTGTAACCAGGCTTGCTTCCATTCACTTGCAATAAAAACATGATTTTCTGAATTTTGAAATCATTAGATGTTATAATCATATTTTGTACTTGTGCTGCTCTTATGAGATCAAGCAAATGTTTTTGAATAACCCATCCGAACAATTCGAGAGATGGGAAACTCCGAAGTTATTTTAGTCTTTATCTTTACTTTCATTGATATAAGTGAGGGCCGGAAAGCATACAGTAAGCCCCCCCCCCCCCCCATATCTAACTACGCCTATTAAATGGAGCACATGTTTTTGAATACTTCTGAACATACCAGCTTCACAAGATCAGAAACACCGAAGTTATTGCAGTTTGAAGCCTTACCTCCATTTATTTGGGTGAGGGGGCGGTGGTACAGTTAGCCCCCCCCCCCTCATGTCTTAATATGCCTATGAAATGAAAAATTGTTTTTGAATAATTCATCTGAACATACCAAATCGATAAGATAAGAAACTCCGAAGTTATTTCAGTTTGAAACTTTACTTCTATTGATATGAATGAACCCCCCTCCCCATCCCCCTCCGACTAAGCATATGAGACAGATCTATTGTTTTTGAATATTTCATCTCAACATACCAAAACGATACAATAATTCGGTCGAATTTGGAGTCTGACTTTCATTGGTACACCGGCAGTGTTGGCAGAAAAAGGGATTTTTGGCATTTAATTCGAAACATTGATCTTTGAACAGCTATAACTTTTTTTAAGGGCATTCTAGCACAATACATTTTAGAACCAAAGTTGTTAGGCACTTTCTGGGCTAGGGGAAACGCTCCTATAGTTGCGGTACGTTAGTAGCGTTAGGCTCCTATAGTTGTGTACGGAGTCTCCATACACAACTATAGGAACCTAACGCTTCTAACGTACCGCAACTATAGGAGCGTTTACCCTATACTTTAATGTATTTATGCGTGGTTTGTGCAAAATTGTGGTCCCTAGTAATAAAGATGCAAAAAAGTAGGATTTCCCATACTAATTTCCATACAAATTTCAAATCGTCCCCAAATTTTGCACAGTTGCTTGGGACCCCAAATGGAACCAATAAACGATGAAATTGAGCCGGCGCGCCGCCGCAGTAAAATCTTTCACGCCGCCGAAGAAATTTATGTCCTACCGATGAAAAATCCTTAGTACCTTTTCGGTTAAGTTCATCTTGAACGTGTTGATATTAGAACTTGTGTGTGGTGCAGCGATTGTCATTTAGTTATTTGATACAGGAATTAATCATTCTGATCGGATTTACATAAAGGTGAATAAGTCACGAAAACTCCGCTGAAATCTACTTAAACATTCGTTGGCAGCATCCAAAATCTCAACCGAAATCGAGTGGAACCACCTCCGGCCACTGGACCCTTAGTTGGTAACGTCGTTGGCAGCATCCGGAATCGACTGGAACCTGCTTCGTCGAGAATGTGAGAACAATTTACTGGAAATATCTACCGGAATCGACTAGAACCTCCTCCGCCACGAGCGTCATTCGAATGTTAATCTGGAGAGGTGAGCTTTAATTTGCGAGATATCGACGTCTACAGCCATTGATTACAAAAGCAATCAAGCTCCTTTGAAATGTTGGCACTGAAGTGTCCGAGACTTTCTGGCATTTTGAATTTTTTAAAACACATTTTCTAAACTAAAAGATTTGGCATGGTTTTTTTTTATCTTAGGCTTAGTAATAAAGTGATAAATCGCCCTTAGTTCAATCAATGTTGATTTCTGGAACTAGATTTCTCTTCGAAATATCACCAGTTCATTCGAGATTTTGCAGTTCCCTACGCCCTTGGTTACTAATGTTTGTTATTAACATAAAATGTTGCTAGAGCAAATGAAAAACATATGGAAACGCAATACATGAGTAGATCTGTTATTGTAAAATGAAAATAGTATCATTTCTATTAATCAATAATGCATTTAAAATGCAGAGTTAAAATTTATGATAATTCAAACTATGTAAATAAAGGTCCAGCAGTGCGAACATAGATTCGGACCACTACCTAGTTGCATTATGCATGCGCTCAAAACTCTCGACGGTGCATAACACACGTCGAAGTCGAACGCCGCGACCCAACATTGATCAACTACGGGACGCCGGACTTGCCCAGGACTACGCGCAGCAGCTGGAAGTTGCACTACCCACGGAAGAGCAGCTTGGCGCAGCTTCTCTTGAAGATGGCTGGAGGGACATCCGTTCAGCCATATGTAGTACTGCTGCAGCGGCACTAGGTACTGCAATCCCGGACCGAAGAAATGACTGGTTTGACGGCGAATGCAAACTGTTAGTAGAGGAGAAGAATGCAGCACGGGCGAGAATGCTGCAACACCGCACGAGATTGAATGTGGAGCGATACAGACAAGCGCGATACAGACAAAACTCGGTTTTCCGAAGAAAGAAGCGTCAGCAGGAAGACCGAGATCGTGAGGCGATGGAAAATCTGTACCGCGTAAACGACACACGGAAGTTCTAAGAGAAGCTAAGGCTACGTGCCGCAAGCCGATATGTGCAAGGACTTGGACGATAACCTTCTCACGAACAAGTGAGCGAGGTGATTGAGAGGTGGAAGCAGTACTATGACGAGCACCTCAACGGTGATGCAGCAGAAAACGAAGGTGGCACGGCAACAGACCTTGGAGGACGCGCAGAAGATGACAGGCTACCGGCCCCTGATCTTCAAGAAGTTGAGGAGGAGATCGGTCAGCTGAAGAACAACAAAGCAACTGGTGTAGATCAACTACCAAGTGAGCTATTGAAATACGGTGGTGAAGCACTGGCTAGAGCGCTGCACTGGGTGATTGCCAAGATTTGGGAGGAGGAGATATTACCGGAGGAGTGGATGGAAGGTGTCGTATGCCCAATCTACAAAAAGGGCGACAAGTTGGATTGCTGCAACTACCGCGCGATCACACTGCTGAGCGCCGCCTACAAGGTACTCTCCCAAATTCTATGCCGCCGTCTGTCACCATATGCAAGAGAGTTCGTGGGGCAATACCAGGCGGGACTCATGGGTACCCGCGCTAGCACGGACCAAATTTTCGCGATTCGGCAGGTTCTGCAGAAATGCCGCGAATACAACGTGCCCACACATCATTTGTTCATCGATTTCAAATCCGCATACGACACAATCGATCGAGATCAGCTATGGCAGATTATGCACGAGTACGGATTTCCGGATAAACTGACGCGATTGGTCAAGGCGACGATGGATCGAGTGATGTGCGTTGTTCGAGTATCGGGGACACTCTCGAGTCCCTTTGAATCTAGAAGGGGGTTATGGCAGGGTGATGAACTTTCGTGTCTGCTGTTCAACATCGCGTTAGAAGGTGTGATCAGAAGAGCTGGGATAGACACGAGTGGCACGATATTCAGGAAGTTCATCCAGTTCCTTGGTTTCGCCGATGACATTGACATTATGGCACGAAACTTTGAAATGATGGCGGAAACGTACATCAGACTGAAGGCTGAAGCTAGACGGATTGGTGGAGTGCAGATGGATGACGGGACGTGGAGGAGACGAATGAATCACGAATTGCACCAGCTGCTGGGAGAACCATCCATCGTCCACATTGCAAAAATTGGGCGACTACGGTGGACTGGGCACGTCATAAGAATGCCGCACGACGACCCAGTGAAAATGGTTCTAGAAAACGACCCAACAGGAACAAGAAGAAGAGGCGCGCAGCGGGCAAGGTGGATCGACCAAGTAGAAGGTGACCTGCGGACCCTTCGCAGACTACGAGGCTGGCGAACTGTGGCCATGGATCGAGTAGAGTGGAGACGACTTCTTCGGACAGCAGAGGACAACAAGGCCTTAGTCTGATTGCACATGCACAAATAAAGGTCCTGGAAAATCCTGGAACACTCAGGGAACTAGTAGAAACCACGTCATGTTTCTTAAATTACTGTTTAAAATAATCATCCATATCTAAAGATCTTTTTTTTTGTTTATTATTTTATTTGATAAGGCTCAACTGAATTAACTTTACAGAGCCGAGAATTCTTGTTCACTATACATTACATTTTAAAGCTATAGTCAAAAGGTACAACACAATAAACATTTTATCTTCCGCTATCCAATAAGCCTTCTACATCAGAACGGGAGCCGCTTCCAGTGGTTTACTTGTATGGCAGATTCGCCAACGGGGGTCAGAGCGCTTACATTGCAGCAATGGACGCAAAACGTGGTCAGCACTCACACATTCAGCATGAAACGGTTGCTTTCCAAAGTCAACGACGCATCGACTGAAAGAACTGCTGATGAAGAACAATGAGGAGGACCACACAATGTTTGCTGCCGAGTAAACAGACGATCGCTTAACACACATTGAGAGTGGTCTGTTTCTGTCGACAGCCGAGTGAACACTGAGTTGAAGATCTTAGTCACTATAGTTTTTATTCCCTACTGAACTTGTCGAATTTTATTGAAATTTATGTTTATTTAATTTAATAAGCGTTTTCAAAATTTTCTACAGATAACCTAAGATATACAATAAATGTTGATTTTTTTTTCTACGACGCGTATTTTCACCCCTGGTGTCGATGAACATATTTCGTGGAGCGGAATTTGCGGATTGAACACGAGATGCGGATTTGTTTTGATAATTTTACATAAGGGAATTTACGTAATCTCGTCTATCTAAGTAGCGTCCGTGCTTCTTATTAGCACTAAGGAATCGTTTGAATACATTCAGCAAAGTGTTTTGATGGGAAAATACAGTGTTTAAATTTTGGTAGTTGAAAACCGTCAATGGGTGCCGAAGCCGATATGTACCCTACGATGGAACTTGGCACAGCATTCCAAGTAGCGTAATACCACCTTGTTGTTATTCAATTTTCACCACAATCAACGTTAAATGTTAATTTGCAATTTTCACCTTTTTCACTTCCAGAATGAACGCCGACTTTGTCGAGCGTCAGGCGCTGCGCCGTTCCAACTCCCAGCTGAGCATCGCCTCCCGACTGGGTTCTGGCGGCCGGTCTCGAGGAGGCCCCCGTCGCCCGTTGCAACGTACCAATTCATCCACCAATCTGGCAGGCCGAGGAAGGTCTCAATCTCGTGGACGATCTCGCTCTCGTTCCCGATCCCGTACCCGTCTGCCACGCTCTCGATCCCGAGGCAATCTCACCCGTACCAGATCTCGCAGTGCCGGCCTGAATGGCATCGGCTACAACAATAACAATAATAATAATAACAACAACAACAACAACCATATCGAGAACCGTCTCGGTCGGGGTGGTCGCATGCGAGGCCGCCCGAGTGTCAGACGCGGCCGCGGACGAGGTCCAGCTACCCTGGCCCGATCTGCCTCTCGTACGAATCTCCGCGCCGGAAGCGTTAATGGCCGTCTCGGTGGAAACCGAAACAATCGGCCGCTGGGCACCCGCGGTGGACGTGGACGTGTGGCCAAACGTGGTCAACGGCGAGGACCAGCAGGATCCGGTCAGAATGGTACCGGCGGCGGAAGACCCGGACGTACCCTGCAGAGGTAATAAATCCGATGGCATATTGTATATGGAAGGGAGAAATTTACACATTCAAATGGTGGAGCGCGTCCCCTACGTGGTGGAAGAATCGAACAAACACTTCGTCGTTATTCTCTGGGTGCAGATACCCATGATACGCATCGACGCGATTTGAAGTCATGTTCACTCTCAGTCTTAACCCTTAAGGTCCGTTTGTTGAAGGAAACCGATTGCAAAGAACAGAAAGAAAGCTCGCACACAGTTCAGTAACCACGATGAATAATCACTGGCCAACGGAAGCAACCAGGCAGTTGTATTGCACTTGAACCAAGTTGAATTGAACAATGGACGATACTACATCTCGAATACGCTATTTGCAACCTTACCGAAGAACATTCTCAATTCACGCTTGATACTGGAATGCCATTTTATCAAAACTTATCTACCGATGTGTTCAACCCGAAGACCGTAGGCAATATTTTCTATTCAACCAATCTGGCAACTGTACGGACTGGCTAGCATCATAACGTTGAGTTCAATTCAAGGAACATCCAAACCTCGTCAAAAACCAGCGCTTCCGACGAACAGAGTTGTGCCATCTTAGGTTACTAGTTCACTGGTGTAATTTGGTTCTATAATCTTGATTCTCGATCAAAAAACAGTACCCATCTAGCGCACAACCGGTGTGCAAAAAGACCCTTCCACAACAAAGCCCGCTCGAAACGAGCGATTTTCTTGTAGTTGTTGCAGAGTTGCTGTGAAATGCTGCAGTTGCACGTCGCAGGCGTCCCAGTTATTGGGGTTCAGCTGATGCGGACCGAAGCCAACCACCGCCGCCACCATCCTGGGGGTTTCACATGGAGACACTGAACCCGTCCTGAGCTGCCTGACCGACTGACTCGGGTCCGGATTATGAGCGGAACGGTTTTTTGGTAACACACAATGCGACGACGGCTCTCGATTTGTCGCTGGGTATCATGGTATCTATTCTGAAACTGTTCATGTAACTAATCGTTCTTCTTGTAGCGCGCTCGAATATATCAGCGGGAAAGCGTAGAATGGCGGGTTGCTACTGATTGAGAGCGGGAAAGCGAACTAGGATTGGGTCCAAGGAATGGGGGATGTATCGCGAACGATACACGTCAATCGTCAAAAGAAAAGGTCAAACCGGATGTTACGATTGATTTACGTATCTGCTCAAAGATTGCAGACACAGTTTCGTTTATTTTGAAGCAAGTCTCTCTGTTCGACAGCTTTTCTCGTCAACCGGGGGTCGCCCACGCATACCAACAACATCATCGGGAAGGGGAAAGTTTCCCCTATCCGGTGATGTTGATGGTATGCGTTGGAGTCATATGAGTGGGTGTAAGGTTTGTATTACGCCTTTTCCACATGTTGTTCTTGATACTAGTTCTAACTAATATCGCTATTACTTCAAAGAGCAAAATGTAAAAATTTATTCTTATAAATAAGCAATATTTGTCGAGAAATTATCGATTTTACAAAAATCTCCATACTGCAATATTGGTTTATCCATCACCGGCGGGTGACATCTGTAAGATTTGATGGTGGAAAGTAGTACCCTATTGGGGCAAAACAATTCAAAGAGAACTTACGGGAGATGGGGGTAAAATGCCTATGCTAAGGAAGATCTCCGTTTCATTCACAAAGTGAATCTATATTGAAATGCGATGCCTTGAAAATGTTGGATTAGGTTATTGGCAAGATATTACTATTGATATGCTTAACGAACTTAGCTCAATTCTTGTTTAAATTGATAAACTTAAAAAGACTAACAAGAACCTGTTTTCGATGTACTGTGGGGCAAAATGCGCATGCTGATTTCAGCCAAGGAAGCATACATTTAGGCTTATCTATGCCCTTCCTGTATTGAATTTCAAAAGGTTTACGCCTGATGGTTATGTCTTCCATACTAAAATTCGCAGGGCGCATTACGCCACACTAACAAATAGTAATGGCGAAAATAACTACTATTTTTCTAATAGACATAACAGTCGATCCATCAAGCCTAAAGATGAATCAATCAAATCGTTATTTTTTTTTTAAATGTTCAGAGATACCAACTGTTTCAATGTAATTGCCAAATTTCAAAGGCTTTATAACGGAGTCTCTCTACCGATATTCTTGAACTTTCATACTCCTTGACAAGTTTCAGGACAAAGTGTTACAAGCCCTTTTCGCGATCTTTCGAATTTATAGCTCAGTGGATGTTAGTTCCACAAGGTGCAAGTGTTCAGCAAAATATGGACCATTCCAGGATTGTTACGACTATGCGGATTTTGCGATTTACATTTCAGATTTGGTCTGGCGAGAATTAGATCCACTTAGTCTGAATTCAACTAAGATTACATTTCTGTTATTTGAATTCTCCATTCCTATCATTTCAAGGACAAATTTTCAAATAGACAATGACTTCAACCGTCAATTTGTCGCTCACACAACTTCCCCTTTCAGGATTTAGGAGACAGTAGGTAGGTGGTTTGCCTAAGGTCTTCTAGCCACGCGATTGAGCTGCCATCTTAGGTGAAGCTTCCGGGGATAAGCATTTCTTATACAGTCGCTGGATGCAAGTCAGACGCTGCTTGAACATCTATTGATTCTCAGAACGTATTTGAAACCTTCAAAGCTTTGAAAGCTCAAAACTTATCAAAACTTCCACGATTTGGTCAGTTCTTTGAACACCAAGTAAGATGTATGCACTTGTCTGGAGTTCGTTGGACATCTTTGAAGCTCTTTCAATGTCTTCGAAGCTCTCTGAACCTCTCCAAAGTCTGAAGTTCGATGATCTCTCTTAAGCACTTTTAAGATTTCAAAGTGTTTTTATGTTACTTCATACGTGAAGTTTGAAGCTTTAGTGTGATTATTTATTAGCTCGAGAATGATTAGAAGAGGGTAGGTAGATAGTTAGAGTACGGCAGTATGAAAATTGAATAGAAGTTGAAAATGAGCGAAGGGCCATTAATGCGGCAGTGCAAGTCAAACGCACACTCTTTGCCTAACCCGTACGATGTACGCGGAGATTTGAAGTATGTCTTCAAATCTACAGGCAAAAAGTGTGCGTCTGACTTTGCTCAAATACTGCCTGTGGCTGTGGAATAGTTCTAGCTACGTTTCATCAAAAGCATTGTCAAAAACGTTGCCGAAAGCATTTCCAGATCTTCGAAATTAGTTGAACCTATCTGTAGTTCATAGGACTGCTCAGAAGTTCTCTAAACTCTACATCTTTTCATTAGCACCCTGGTCCCCTCATAAGTTCAAATAATTTTAGAGCTGTTTACGGATTTCCAGAGGAGGCTTGCAAATTTAATTAAAAAATCCTGGATTTCAAAAAAGATCGTTGAATTTCAGAGATATTCAGCGAAACTCCGAGATGCACACAGACCATTATTGCAGTTTAGAGAATGTAAAAAGGACTCAGCGATCATCGCAGAGCTGTTTGGGAAAACTTCAAAGATGTTTAGGAACTTCAAGACGACTCTTCGGAGACGTTTAAGAGATCCTCAGGGAAGCTAAAGGTAGGTTTAGAGATGACCTTTCAAGGCTTATGGAATTTGATGATAACTTCCAAGGAACTCATTCAAATGAAATTTGCTCTCAAGGTAGTTCTGAGGAACTCCAGATTCCATGTAAATACCAATGTAGGTTTGAGTAGATTTCCACCCATCATATGATTCAAAGGAAATTTTAATGAAAATCCATAGTAATTCTTGAGGTTAATTCCTAAGAACTCTGAGAAAATTTGGAACAGAATTTGGAGGGTTATTTCATGATAATTCTGAGGAGAACTCCATGGTAATTGAAAGGAGAAATCTGAGGATAATTTTAAGAAGCTTCTGGGAGAAAAATGTCATGTGAATTTTCGGATATTACGTAGAGTTCGGGGTGTGCTAGACGGAGGATAATTCTGAGAATAGTTCCAGGAGAACTCCAAAGGAATTCAGAAAACAAGTCCAAGAGAGTTCTAATTTGAATGGCAAACAAGAACCAGCTTTGAGGATTGTAAATTACGGAAAACGTGTTCCTTCATTCTCATTGTTGGGGACTTGGGGTCCACAATTAAGGCGTGCCGGACCGTGTTCGGTCCGCCCCCGTTGGGCCCAATCCTAAGTCGTCGTTTCGTGTTCGGTTCTACTTGCAGACGTGGCGGACCAGGTGGTGGTGGAGCACCGCCGACAGGAGGAGCCCGGCGAGGCCGATCGCGCTCCCGAGGTCGAGCGATATCGCAAAACCGCGGACGCAGTGCACAACGAGGTCGCAATGGTAAAGGCCTATTTTGGCTCATTCCACACGGTTGGAGAGAAAAATGTGCGAATAATTTGTTTCCTTTTTTTAGCATCCAAAGGACGCCGAGCATCGGCACCGAACATGAGCAAAGAGCAACTGGACAATGAGCTGGATCAGTACATGGCCAACACGAAGTCCTCACTGGATAAGGAAATGGACGAGTACATGCATGGGATCAATAGTTCCATCTAGAGGGACCTGTTGTTGGACCCCTTGCTGTGGAATGGCGCGGAGAGCAGTTAGTTACAAAATGTGAACCAATCAGGCGTTCAGAACTAACCCACAAATTTTTTGTATATCGTAACAACAAAAGTATGCTACCTACTAAACACAAACAAACTCTCTTAGGCAATAAGGAACCCCTTTTCACTCAAGTGGAAAAGCAAAAAAAAAAAATGGGATGATAACTAAGCGTTGAAAACTGAACTTTTAAGGAGTACTTTTAATAACTTATCTACCGTAAATTTTGACTGTACATAAAATAAAGTATACACATGAGCGATGTGTACACCTGAGGCAAAGAATGCAAATTGAATAAAACTTGTTTTTTATGACTGAATTGAAATCAGTGCTTATTTTATATCACAACTACTGATCGCAAACGGATTGATTTCACTCAAGATACTGAGACAACCATTAGATGAAAAAAACCTATCATCCACACTGTACACAAACATCATCCTCTGATCGAATGAAACCTCAGACCATTCAAAACAAAACACCGAAATCGCTTTTTCGAATGATAGCTGCAACCGGATGACGGTTGTTTTGAAATCAGATGATTTTCCTCTCGAATACAGGATGAAACTTGTTATGAGAAGTGATAGGGCCTTCAGTTGAAATGCGTAATGCTCTCTGCAGAATGACTGTCATACTAAATGGAAATGCATATGGTATTGGTTCAACCCCATAACGCAAATCATTCAAAACGATGGTGTAAATAATTCTATCGAACGTCATTTGCTGATGTGAGCTGACAAACGAGGTGGAAGCATATGCATCGCTATCAGAGCTGTTACGAACATTAGTAAAGGATGAAAACCAATGTTTGGCTATTTCGTCATTCTCTGCTTGAACGTCAAGCAGTTTAGTTCGGTTTGAGCTCGCTCTCGTGAGTTGTTCGGAAAGTATTTTTGTGAGTTAGTGTTCGCGCTCTTTCTTTCGTGGTTTGTCGTGCGTGTGTGTGTGCCCCGAAATGGGGAAGCATCGCTCGCGAAGCCCGGTGCAGGACCAGGACGCCGGTGAAGGTAGCTCCGGTGTGTCCACATCGAACAGGTTTGCTGTTCTTCCCATCGATGAGCATACCCAGCCAGCTGCAAAAGGAAAGCGCAGCAAGAAGAGGAAGAAGAATCGGAGCCAGTCCGATTGCACGATTTCTCGCGGCGATGCTACTGCGGCAAACGGTAGTGATGTCGGAGATTTCGGTGACGTTGCCGACACAAGCACGGCAAAAGTAAAGCTACCTCCGTTGGTAGTAAAAAATGCCCATCTTAACGATCTCATCGCAGATCTGGCTTCGCTGGGCGTTAAAGCCGAATTCAAGTTGGGCAGAGTCGGCACCAAGGTTATGCTCCGCACGAAAGCGGAGTATGACTTGGTCGTTGCCCACCTGAGGACTACCAAGGTGGAATTTTTCACCCACGACATTCCCGGCGAGAAACCATTCAAGGTCGTCATCAGGGGTCTACCGAATTTTGACCCGATGCTGATTGAAGCGGAAATCAAGAACCGCTACAAGCTGGCCCCAACTGCCGTCTTCCGGATGACAAGGAGGGACGAGAACGTCAAAAGGTATCCAGATTGTCTTTTCCTGGTGCATTTCCAGAAGGGAACGGTGACGCTCAATGCGTTGAAGGCTATCCGCTCCATCAATTCCATCATTGTCCGATGGGAGCCATACCGTGGCGGCCGTCATGACGTCACCCAGTGTCAACGTTGCCTGAATTTCGGGCACGGCACCCGAAACTGCTTCGTCAAGCCGCGCTGTGGAAAATGCGCCCAAAACCATATCTCCTCCGAGTGTGTTGTCGACGAGTCGGAAGCGGCCAAATGCGCCAACTGTAATGGCGCTCATCAAGGGTCCGACAAACAGTGCCCCAAACGCGAAGATTTCAAACGGATCCGAAAGCAGGCGTCCACAAGAAATCAACCAGGACGAAAGAAGGAAAATACGCCGGCATTCAGACTGGAGGATTTCCCGCCTCTTCCTGCTACGCAACACGATCAAGCAAATCCACGGGTGCAATCCGGCCCCCGCCAAGAAACGTCTGGTGCCTCAGCTGGACAAAGCTCTCCATCCCCCCCTGGATTCTGGAGACAACCACCAGCACAAAACGCCAATCCCGATCTCTTCTCTGCGGATGAGCTGATGAAGATTTTCGTCGACATGACCAGCGCTCTTCGCCAGTGCCGCAGCAAGCCCGAACAGATCCAAGTGCTCGGTAAGTTTATTATTCAGTATGGTGTCTAAACCGATAACTGTCGTCACATGGAACGCATGCTCTGTAAGAGCAAAAAGACTCGAGCTTGCTGACTTCCTCCGCAAGCATAGTATCGACGTGGGCCTCCTAACAGAGACCCATCTTAAATCCGGTGACAGCTTTTGGTTGCCTGATCACCACATTATCCGGCTTGATCGTATTGACTCCAGGGGGGGTGGTGTTGCGATCATCATCAAGAAAGGAATCAAGTTCTGCACGCTGCCGCATATTCGCACTTCTATCATCGAGGCCCTTAGTGTCGAGGTGGAATCACCAACCGGAAACGTCCGGTTCGTCGCCGTATACTGCCCTCGTCAGTGTGCTGCCAGTAATGGATTAGGCATCCAATTCAAGCATGATCTGACCACCATCACTCGCACGAGCTCACGATTCGTCATTGGGGGCGATTTAAATGCCCGCCACGAAGCATGGCGGAACTATCAGCGGAATCAGAACGGACGTCTGCTCTTCGACCACTCGCAGCATGGGCTGTATACAGTGAAATTCCCTGATGAACCGACATTCATCTCTCCGGCGGGAAACCCTTCCACGTTGGACTTTTTTCTATCGAACATTGGACTATCCAAACCGATGGCGATCAACGATCTCAGTTCCGACCATCAACCGGTGGTGGCTGAAGTCGGCACCCACGTGGAACCTGCTCAAAGCCTGCGCAAAGACTACCATCATGTCAACTGGGTGCAGTTTGGGCATGTGGTCGACAGAAACATCGATGAAAATCCGCCACTTGACACCGTAGAGGACATCGACCGGGCACTGGAAGGGCTCCACCAGGCCATATCCGTGGCTGACGAGACGTGTGTTCGACAAGTTCCTGTGAGGGGTAAGTTTGTTTCCATTGATTCCCACACCCAATTACTGATTCGCTTGAGAAATGTGCGTAGACGCCAGTTTCAGAGGACTGGAGATCTAGCGAGGAAACGTGAAATGGCCGATCTGAACAGGCAGATTGCTTCCAGAATGGACTCACTCCGAAATGAAAGTTTCGGGCGTGTTGTCCAGAATCTGGACGACCGCTCCAGACCATTCTGGAAGGTAGCCAAGGTGCTGAAAACTCATCCCAAACCCGTTCCACCTCTCAGAGTCGAAAATGATGACGATCGGCTTTTAATCACCCCACAGGAGAAAGCAAATGCGATCGGTGAGCATGTCGCTTCATCGCATTTGCTTGGCTCGTCTATCCAAAGTCCGCTCGAAGATCAGGTTGCGCAATGCGTTCAAAACCTAGATGCCTCCCCTTGTGTCGTGCCTCCGGTGGATATGATTACAGTACAACAAATTTGCTCAGCGCTGAAATGCACCAAGAACATGAAGGCCCCCGGGTTTGACGGCATATTCAACTTGATCTTGAAGACACTCAGCATGAAAGTGCAGTCTCTTCTAACCGCTATCTTCAACAGATGTTTGGAACTGCACTACTTTCCAAACATCTGGAAAGTAGCAAAAATCATACCAATCCGCAAACCCGGTAAGGATCCAACATTGTCTTCAAGCTACAGACCAATCAGCCTCCTTTCAGCGCTGAGCAAATTGTTCGAGAAACTCATTCTCAATCGTTTGCTCAAGTTGTCGAGGAAAATAACATTCTCCTTCCGGAACAATTTGGTTTCAGAAAGGGGCATTCCACCAATCACCAGCTAGTACGGGTGATGAATAACATCCGAAGTAACAAAGCTGTATCCAAGTCCACAGCCATGGCCTTGTTAGACGTTGAAAAGGCGTTTGACAATGTTTGGCATGACGGACTTGTGTACAAGCTTTGTAACTTCAACTTCCCATTACATCTGGTTAAAATCACCCGAAACTACCTTCAGCAAAGGTCGTTTAAGGTATCGTTGAATGGTTGTCTTTCAGACACGTTTTCCATCCCAGCAGGAGTCCCGCAAGGCAGTCTGCTGGGCCCCTTGCTTTACAGCATTTACACTTCCGACATTCCTCCCCTCGGTGACGGTTGCGTGTTTTTCCTGTTCGCAGATGATACCGCAATAGCCGTCAAAGGAAGGATGCCTCGCGAAATAACGAACAAACTTCAACGATGCCTTAACGCCTTTGCTGATTATGCCACCATGTGGAAAATCAAAATCAATGCCTCCAAAACACAAGCGATCATGTTCCTCCATCGGCAATCGCCCAAACTGAAACCGGCTCCATCTTGTACTGTAATCATGGATGGCACAAGGGTTGAGTGGTCCGCCGAAGTAACCTATCTCGGGATGTTGTTTGATGAAAAGCTCCTCTTCCGTTCGCATGTAGAGAAAACAGTAGTCAAGTGTTCTGCCTTGGTTAGGTGTCTGTATCCGCTGATTTGCCGCAGATCTCGCCTCTCAAGGGTAAACAAACTGGCCGTCTACAAACAAATCATAGCACCTGCGATCCTCTACGCAGCTCCGGTGTGGGAATCATGTGCACAGACTCACAGGAACAAAATTCAGGTCGCACAAAATAGAGTGCTGAGGATGGTTCTTGATCGTCCTTTCGACACTAGAATAACAAATTTACACGAAGAGGCAGGAATTGCCAAAATAGATTCAAGAATTAACGAAATTAAGACTAAATTTGCAGAAAAATGTAATTTATCAGAACATGCTTTGATAAGCAACTTGTATATAGTAGGTTAGGTGCATATAGTAGTTGTAGGTTAGTTGTAGTTGTAAATAGTAGTTATAAGTAGTCTCCTTTTTCCAATTCAAATCAAACCAATCCCACCAAGGTGGTCATACTTTAAAATAGGCCTGATAGGACTAGTAACTGTAAATAATAATTAATATCTCAAATGAACTAAAGTTGAAAAGACGCATCTGTGTCACTTGAAAAAAATTCATAAATGTAAACCACACAAACACAAGAAATAAAGATCATTTTAAGTTAAGTAAGTTTGGCTATTTCGTGATCTCTACCACGAAAATTTTTTGTACCCATAATGGAATGGCTTATTATGGCTATTCAGTATGGAAATTTAGAATAATCAAATTATAAATCTAATTAAAAGCACTTGCATGTCACACTATTCTTAAATGTTTGTTCTCTGAGTGCCGTACGTTTTAAAGCTAATTTTCAACGTAAATCATCCTGTATTTGGATGACAGTCATATGGATGTTCATCATCTGACGACGAATTCAATCATAAGAAAATCATCCGAAATTCGAATGCATATTGTTAAAGGGCTCGAGCAATACAATAATCATTCGAAGTATTGCGGGTGTTTTCGTTCAGTGCATGACGACGGCCGTCATGATTTGACAACTATTCTGATTGGTTATCACTACCACCATCGCCGCAGCCGGTTTCCAAGCCAATGAGTACAGAGAGAGGTGAAGCAGATCGTGAAATATGGTTGTATTAGTAAACCAAAAAATCAACGTAAACGCAAGTAGTGACGTCACTAATTGCTTGTATCATACAGGGGTTTTACTCACACAACTTAACCAATTGCTTTTCCTCGGTAATCCAGCTCATTGTTTCCAAGCAACGGGATATATTTACATGTTTTCGTTTTGAATGCACCTTATCGACATTGAAATTAGTCATCGGTCGCATGTAGGTACTCCAGTTGTGCGTTTTTCCAGTGAATATTTAGCTGCCACTTATCGTTGAACAATTGAATCAATCAATCAATCAATCGAGATAATAAGTGAAAGAGTGCAGTGTTGTTTATTTGATTGTTCTCGTCAAGATGACCACCATGACCGAACCAGCGGTAAGCGGACACGAGAAAGTTAATCACAATCATGTACTTTACTATTTTATTCAAAGCTGTATTTGTTATTTGGTGTCGGTGCTCAATTAATAATGAAGTTTTTGAACGATCAAAACAGATTACATTTCAATTCCCCAACAAGTAGCATACTTTTCGTTGTAGTTAGTTCGAGAGTTCGAGTTCGGTATCGGCTGGTATAAAAAATCGATGAGCATGCGCACATTGTTAATAACATGACGTATTCAATACTGATGGGACCTGACTGATGCCTTTTAGGACTGATGGGCATTGTGCAGTTTGCGTGGGGATGTCAACGAATCGATTTATTTTTTTTTAATTTCACGAGCTTATTAAGGACATTCCTACGGGACAGAGTTAACAAACAAATCTCGAAAGCTACACAGCAAAAAAAAAATCAATATCATTACACATAATTTTCGAACAAAATGTAAATATCTGTGTTTTTGCAATGAATCACTTATGGCGGTAAGCTTCATCTCGGATTAACTTTTAATCCCGTCCCTGTTTGGATGATCTGTAAAGTGTTTGTTTAGAATCGTGTTGATAAGCACTTATGTCGACATCAAAGCAGCCGGACAGTCTTGATCGGGATTTAATCCGAGGATAATACCAGTTGGAGCTTACCACCATTACAGCACACCCGGATAAATGCGAACCATAATTTGACCTTATCAAAAATGATTAAAAATTGTTTATAATCCCTGCTAAACTTTAACTGAAACGGTTATGGAATTTAACATGAACGTTTGTGTGATAAAGTTTTAACCTTATGTATTATGTTTTTTTTGGAAGTGAACCTTTCAAATAATGATTTTATTTATGATTCGAGAACTTTAATGGTAATTGATGGAAACTAATGATTTTAAATTGGCCACTACACGGAACCAATTTGATATATTCGTGATGTGTGGAAGTCTAATAAATTTGCGCTATAAGATAATTCATTGAAAATTATATGATTGAAAATGTGTCAAGTAATTTCTATATGAATATCTGATACATTTACAATGCTTATAATTTGGTAACTTTTATATGATCGTTATGTGAAAATCACATGAAATTTACTTCTTCTTTTGACACATATATTTAATCGATTTCTAAAAATAAATCGAAAAATAAACATCAGGCAGTGGAGAGCTTTCACAGTTGCGTCTTTTTTTTATTGTAGCTGATTTGGGATTCGATCAAGAACTGTTCAGGTGTGATGCTTTCGGTGTCTGCGCTCGATTCCACTGGGCCAAGGCTGACTTTAATATTGAGCTCGTTCAATTAGCATGAAGTAAGAACAGCTCTCCCGACATGAAATGTAGAGCAACAATATGCTCGTTTTGCTAGAGTGAAGACAAATAGTACTGACAAATTTATGTTCCATTTCGTTGCAATAAAACAACGACTACATTATATGAGTTCATGGAACTGGTTCATGAAGTTCGAGTACTAGTGCTGGAATCTGAATTAGCCGTGTAGAAGGCTTACAATTAGAATCTTAGCAAAGTAAATATTGCAGTAGAATAATTTTTTTTTCAATCTCAATACATTCTTTTCCGGAACCTCTTATCTTATGAAACAATAACAAACAAAGAATATTCAATACAGTATCATTTTTGTTACTGTTAGCAATATTTAGTTCGACTAATCATTTTAATGAGTGTACGATAACATCGTTGAAAATTGTTTCAATAATTTATAAAGAACAATCATGTAAGATGTATTTTATTGGGAGCGATATTCATCCCAGAAAACCATGCCAAAACAAATGTTTGCTGTTGGATTTCTTAAAAGGCAAATATATATGACTATTTAATGATTGGGATAGATCTGTTTACAATCTTGCAAACTTATTTGATTTTCCATTAGTTTCTAGATGTCTGTTCCCAGTACATATCACCAGTTTTTCACCATGAAATATATCAGACAATATTCATATACATCTTATCTATCGCTAACCACGCTCGAAGCCAAGTATTATCAAGTACTAAGTATGTGAAATTACGATAGAAATCATTCCATATCGCAGTCATAGTTTTTAAGTGATAATCCAATGGAATCTATCAATCATCACATAGAATGAATAAATCTACTGACATTGCTATGTTATAAGATGGATCCAATAAACGATACATCTCGATTTGTTTCAGTGTACTTGACTAGCCTATTGGTCCCAAGTACATCTATAAGCGTATCCCATTCTAGTAGAAATTCTAGTACTACACTATGTTTGTTTGGATTCGCTGTGAAAGTTTGACAGATAAAATGAGGGGTTCGTGGATTTTCTTATGTTTCGAGGAGTGATCAAGAACAAATTTTCATTATGTCGAAAGTAACATTCGTACCGATCCGAGAAAAATAAAGCATTGTTTTGATGACCGAAAAGTTATTCCTATTTCCAATTAAACGCATATAATCTCATAGCAATGTTAAACATATTACAAAAGGTTTTAATCACACAAAGCATATCGCTAGCTTTCATGCTATAAGATACAGGGTTTTGAGTCAAAAGGTAAAGGGTGATACGGTCAAAATTTGGTCAATATCAACTTGACGTATTTCTTTCAATTTTGCATTTAAAAAACCTGAACACCCCTCATTTTGAAGGTGTGTGTGTGTAGAATGTTGCTCCTATTTTGATTTTGGAATTCACTCTTCAGTTGTCAAAATGCCGTCCAAGCAAGAAGAGCAGCGTATCAAAATTTTGCTCGCGCATCGCGAAAATCCGAGCTACTCGCACGCAAAGTTGGCAAAATCGCTAAAAGTTGCCAAATCAACCGTTACAAATGTAATTAAAGTGTTTGGGGAACGTTTGTCGACAGCCAGGAAGTCTGGATCGGGGGGAAATCGAAAACAGGAAGCCGCTGAGACGACAAAGAGAGTTGCCGGTAGTTTCAAGCGAAACCCTAACCTCTCTCTCCGAGATGCCGCAAATAAGCTGGGTGTATCGTCTACAACCGTGCATCGACTATCGACTTACAAGAAGGTAGTGACTCCAAATCGCGATGATAAACAAAATACGACGGCCAAAGCGCGATCCCGGAGGCTGTACACGACGATGCTGACGAAGTTTGACTGCGTGGTAATGGACGACGAAACCTACGTCAAAGCCGACTACAAGCAGCTTCCGGGACAGGAGTTTTATACGGCAAAAGGAAGGGGAAAGGTAGCAGATGTTTTCAAGCACATGAAACTGTCAAAGTTCGCAAAGAAATATCTGGTTTGGCAAGCCATCTGTACCTGTGGCTTGAAAAGCAGCATTTTCATAGCTTCCGGGACTGTCAACCAAGAAATTTACGTGAAAGAGTGTTTGAATAAACGTCTGCTGCCTTTCCTGAAGAAACACGGTTGTTCCGTACTGTTTTGGCCGGATTTGGCATCTTGCCATTACCGTAAAAAGGCCATGGAGTGGTACGCCGCCAACAACGTGCAGGTGGTTCCCAAGGACAAGAACCCTCCCAACACGCCAGAGCTCCGCCCAATTGAGAAATACTGGGCTTTTGTCAAGCGGAACCTTAAGAAGACCAAAAAAACTGCTAAGGGCGAGCAGCAGTTCAAGGCAAACTGGCTTTCTGCGGCGAAGAAGGTGGACAAGGTGGCTGTACAAAATCTGATGGCAGGGGTCAAGTGTAAGGCCCGGCAATTCGGATTTGGAAAAGCGGAAGCCTAACTGAATATTTTTCCTGAATTTTAAACTAATTGAACTTGAAAAAGAAATTTAATTTGATTTTTTAAATAAACGATTTCACCGATTTACACGCGTTTTCCCTTGACCAAATTTTGACCGTATCACCCTTTATTATACGTCGTTTGGTGGCCCCCTCGGTGGCCCCCTAATGTTACTTTAGTCAACATGTATTTACCAGGATATTCGGGAGAATTATCAATCACGTCTCCTTACGTGCAGCCCATCCATCATTTTAGGACCACCGAAGTCATCTTAGCAACAAACAGTTCGATTTATTCACTTTAATAATGAGAAAGCGAAACGACGAACGTACACTTTTCACAGGTTTATCTGCGCTGTTACTTAAGACAAACGGCATCTCCATAGACATCTTTTTTTTTTTTTTTTGATAATAGTCACTTTAACACTCTTGGGTCATTCGTGACTTTTCCGGGGGTGAAATTTGAACTCGTGACTTTGGCGTAAGAGGTATGGATGTTAACCACTACGCAGGGGTCGCCCCCACCATAGACATCGAGTGACTTAAGTAACATCGAAAAATATTTTGATCGGAAGGTGATTACGTCAAAAAGCAAATTGACTGGTAAATAATTTTAAAAATGGGATGAGATCCCATATTCTGACAGTATATAGTGTAATAGCAGGAGCTTCGATTGACACTGATAGCTCAACTTTGTTTACCTTTGTTACTTTCGACGTAATGAAGTGCAAATTTTCATGTACTTGGAGACCAATAGGCTACTCAAGTAGTGAGCCAATTTGAAATCGTTAGTTCCAGTTTTTGGTACAACGAAGTGTGTTTTTTCCGGTTTCCGAAAAACGCTGAACTTCGCTAAAATGGATGGAGTTTTGCCGACTCCCTAGTGGATTCTATGCGTTTTTGCAGTGTATCTTATCGAAATGCTCTCTTTGGAATTCCCTTCGGAATTATGATCGCAATTTAATTTTTATTCTTTTCGGAATTCCCTTTGAACTTTCTTAAGAAATCACAAGGAATTATCCTGAAAATTTCATTTGAATTTCCCCCGGAATTATTTTGATACTATCCTCAGAATTCATTACCCTTTGAGTTCTTCTCGCAATTTCCTTTGAATCACCAGAATTCTCATGACATTCATCTCAGAACACTCATTCGAATTGACAATCGTCGTAGAATTCTCCTCAGAGCTACCTAAAATTTTACTCAGATCTCTCCTGGAGTTAATTGTTCTTCTTACTATTGCCTTGAAGTCATAGTCCAAACTCCCTACAGGGCCATCCACATTAGATCCGGATCTGACGTGTTGCGGCAAAGTGACAGGTA